TTTTTTTTTTTTTGTAACTATGTGGCTCTCATTCAATAAAATTATGCAACCATTACTTTCTCTTTAAATGCATTAACCTTTCTATATCTCATTCAGCATTTGCCCTTACTCATCACAAAGGGCGAAGCCCATAAGCCTGCGAAAGCACGGCGACGTACAAAAACGAGCATAGCGAGTTGGAAGCAGCTAGTATTATAGACTGAAATAGGAATATTTAAACCGAAGCTCATAAAAGACAACCTTAACACCATTCGCAATCTGACTGGTTGAATAAAAGTATATTTGTGAGTAACGCCTAAAGAAGAGGCAACATACATCCTTCAATCTATATTTATAATAGAGATCATCTTCTGTCATTGTATCCACTGAGTTGTTTGATTCCACGCTAAAGCCAATACCAAATGTTACGACAGCATAAGTTTATTGGACCTGAGAAAAGGACGTGATTTTATTGATTAAATGAATTTTGATAAATGAATAACAATAGTCTCTTTCACTTTTTGCTCTTCTTTTTGCTTCAAATGAAAAGGCATTCTACATCATCCAGCTCAGAGAGACCATCAAAAGGCGCAAAGCTAAATGAATGTAAAGTATTCAATCTTGTTCATTATCAGTCAATATTTAACATTATTCTGGTATAGGTGCAGTAGCACCAACTCAAGAAGCGAATTATTCCAGCACAGTAAATCAAGAAGGTGCCTCTTCTTCCTCAAGTAAACCAGAGCTTTCGAAAAAAGTACAACAAAAGATTGATAAGCAAAATGCACTTTAAAATTCAAAACAGAGCAGAAGGCTCTAAAAGAAGTTAAGTGCCTCTCATGTGGGTTAACAACACACGCACAATCAGCGAGTAACTTGTGCCCAAACAAGAAAGCAAAAGTACCTGTTTGCAGCCCCGATGAAAGGGTTGAAAACTTTTTAATCAAGACATCCTTACCCAACTAAAAATCCCTCAGATTTTATTGATAACATCCGAAATGGTTGTGATATTTGAGGAGTAGACCCAGGTGTTTCTGCAATCTTAACCGCCGTAGATACATCTGGAAGGCAAAAGACAACAAGTTTGGATGAGTATTATTATCTGTGTGACTATAATAATGCATATTTTATACGAAAGAAGCATCAAGAACAACACACGGCTCAGTTTTTGAAAATTTCTAATTTAAGCTCACTGAATACATCAAATATCACAGAGTTTGCAAAAGCCTGCCAAAAAAGACTTAGTTTGTATGATAATATTACAAGTTACTATAATGAAAATGCCTGGTAAGTGCAAAGTATGATTTTTTACTTGTTTATTTAAGCAAGCAAAATTCTGTAGGTCCTCAAAATTGAAGTTTCAATGCTATATTCGTAAACAAAAAGGGATGCATGAAATCTGCAAACGGTTAATGCACAGAAGTGTAAAGTATAACAAGAAGGCGTCTACTGGGGTCAAGACATCGTCTGCTGAAAATGAAAGCAAATATTGTCCTCCTGCTCCTCTTGATCATCCTGACAAACCCAGAAAAACAATAATTGCTTTTGGCGATGGTATGTTTAACAACAGCCTGAGAGGAAACAAAGGGGCACCTGTCCGCCTTATAAAAAAAGCTTTGCAAAAATACTGCGGAAACCAATTAGAAATATGTATGGTAGATGAATATTTGACAAGCCAAATATGCAACAGGTGTAAAAATAGAAATATAGACAATGTTGTAACCGAGAAGTCAAAACGAAGAGTACATACGATATTGAAGTGTAAACAAAACACTTGCAACATCGTATGGAATCGTGATATCATG